TTTTTTACTTTGAGACAGGGTCTTGCTAAATTGCTTAGGGCCTCCTAAATTGCTGAGGCTGGCCTCAAAATTGCAATCCCCCTGCCTCAGCCTCCTCAACTGCTGGAAATACAGGCATACACCACTGTGCCCAACTTATATTTCAACTTAAAAGCCCTCAAGGGCTGAGAATGTGGCTCAGTGGTAGAGCACTTACTAGCACATGTGAAGGCCTGAGTTTAATTTGGGGAACTAGAAAGTAGAAACCTTCCTCTGGCTCCTTAAGGTCTGAGGAATCAAGTCCATTCTAACTGGCATGCTATGAAAGGCTCTTTGTAACCTGTGGTCTTTGTTTCCTTTCATTCCCACCTTCTGTTATTCCTCAACCTGCTATCCTATGTCTCCTTAAGCCACATCTACACAAAATTCTCCAAACTTACCATGCCTATTTTCTACACTTGGAATTCTTTCCCCACTTCCATTCAATCTCTGGTATTCAGCTTCAAAAATCATCCCTCCATCACACTGTGTCCTTCTCTTTAGACTTCTATTTTTTTTATTTACTATAAAATATTCCATTTGAGTTATTTCATAGACTTTTGAGATCCAATATATCCAAAACTGAAAATATCATCTCCCTAAAACCATTTCCTCCCTCGTTGGTTATATACTCCAGTAAATGCCACAACCATCTATCTTCTTGCTAAGATGGAACCCCAATACCACACTTAGCTCTTCTGTTCTCTTAAATTTACATCATGTCTTACCAATTCTATTCATGAATTTCTCTCACCCAGATTTGCATCCCTACTGTCTCTACCTGGTCGGGCTGTGTTACTAAAACCATTTCCTACCTCTCTATCCCATCTTAATTCTCCCTGCATCTGTCCTCCACAATGCCCCTAGAATATATATGTTTAAACAAAATTCTGATTATATTACTCCCCTGCTTTAAAACTAAGGGATAAGGATGAGGCTGGTAACTCTGTTACACATTCTTACAATACATTCCAAACTCCTTAATGGGACTTATTAAGGTCTCTAAGTATAATCCTCCCAGCCTCATCTCTTTTGTCCACTACACTCTGAGCATGCTCAACTTTTTAGTTCCCCTACTACTCAGAGCTCTGTGCACATGCTGCTCCTTCTGCTTGGAACACTATTCTTTTTTTTTTAGAGAGAGAGAGAGAGAGAATTTTTTAATATTTATTTTTCAGTTTTCGGTGGACATAACATCTTTATTTTATTTTTATGTGGTGCTGAGGATCGAACCCAGCGCCCCGCGCATGCCAGGAGAACGCGTTACCGCTTGAGCCCCATCACCTGGCCTACACTTACTTATTCTTTAGAACACAACCAGGATACCATTTCTGTTTCAAATCATTCTCTATTTTCCAAAGTTGGGGTCAGATCTTCCTTCTATGTGAGTACACTGTACACTTCACAGATTCTGCCACACTGAAAGTACTGCTTATGTATTTGTCCACTTTCCCTATTACTGTGTAAACTCCAAATATGGCAATGTATCTTTGTAGTTTATTACAGTTTTCCTAGCACTGAGCACAATGTGGCTAATCAATAGATTTTAGTTAAATAATTTATTAACTATAATAGTAGGTATAGAGAAAAAACAAAAAGTTGTATCTTCCCCAAAGTTACTAGGAAAAATAAATATTCACATACATAATGCTATAACTTAGATCTATAATGTTCCAAAAGGCCCTATATATATAAAAGCTTGCTCCTCAGCTGGGAGGTCAGAGAACTGAGAGGTCAGAGAACCTTATGAGGAAGGATCTAGTGGGAGATTTTAGGTGATTAGGGGTGAGCCTGCCAAGAAGACTATGAGACTCTGGCCCTTTTCTCTCTCTTTCTCTTTCACATCCCAGTGGTTATGAGGTGAGTAGCTTTGCCCCATCAAGTGCTCCCAGACATGATACACTATTTTTTCGGTTTTTTTTTTTTTTTGGGGGGGGGGGCTACTGGGAATTGAACCCACAGGCACTTAACTACTGAGCCACACCCCCAGCCCTTTTTTATATTTTATTTAGAGACAGAGTCTCCCTAAGTTGCTAAGGGCCTTGCTACATTGCTGAGACTGGCTTTGAACTTGTAGTTCTCCTGCATCAGCCTCCCAAGCTGCTGGGATTAAAAGTGTGCACCACTGCACCTGGCAATGCACTGCTCTTTATAAGTTGATTTATCTCAGATATCTGTTATAATAATAGAACACTTACACACATAATTATGAACAAAAGGTTGAAGAACAATGGTAGGGATGTTATAAACAAAGAAAAATACCAATTCATTCCCTTTGAAGTGATCTCCAAAGTAAAGGACAAAAGCAAAGAAAATATTATAATTTCCATTTAAATATATTTTCAATTTCTGTTTTAAAGTATGCTTTCAGGGCTGGGGTTGTGGCTCAGAGGTAGAGCGCTCGCCTAGTATGCATGAGGCACTGGGTATGATCCTCAGCACCACATACAAAAATAAAGATATTGTGTCCACCTAAAACTAAAAACTATTTTTTTAAAAAAGCATGTTTTCAAATGTGCTTACATAGCAGTATTATTTAGTACAAGCATTCACATATCAGCTATGCTCATTTTTTTTTTTTTTTTTAATAAACTGAGCGGAGTAGGTGATCATAAAAGCTTGGCAACCACAGTTCTAAGGCATTTGCTCTCAACCTATGTATATATTAGAGATCTGGGTATCAGATACTGCTGGGAATCTGATGAAAGCTAAGGATCAATTATCTCCCAGAAAAAATAACATAAACCTATTTTTTAAAAACATTAACATAGGGGCTGAGATCGTGGCTCAGCGGTAGAGCACTTGCGCCTGCCTAGCATGTGCGAGGCCCTGGGTTCAATCCTCAGCCCCACATAAAAATAAATAAATAAAATAAAGGTATTGTGTCCAGCTACAATTAAAAAATAAATATTAAAAAAAAAAAAAACATTAACATGATTTTAAGAGTACATGGGGCTGGGATTGTGTCTCAGTGGCAGAACGCTTGCCTTGCATGTGTGAGACACCGGGTTCAATCCCCAGCACCACATGAAAATAAGTAAATAAAATAAAATAAAAAAAGAGTATCTGGGCTCCCATGTTAAGACCCACTCTAGGGCCTCCATTTTTAAAGCCACAAGGACAGTGCTTGGAGTAAAGAGGTCAGCAAAATGCCTCAAGCTCTGTGATCCTATTTTGCTTTACCTTCCTTCTTCTCTTCAAACCCCCTGCTCCAACTGGGCATGACAGCACATGCCTGTAATCCCAGCAGTTTGAGACTGAGGCAGGAGGACTGCAAATTCAAGGCCAGCCTCAGCAACTTATGAGGCCCTAAGCAACTTAATGAGATCCTTTTTCTTAATAAAAATTTTAAAAGGGCTGGGGATGTGGTTCAGTGGTTAAGCGCCCCTGGGTTCAATTCCTGGTACTTAAAAAAAAAAAAAAACGCAAAACAAAACCCCGCTTCTCTTTCTCCCCAAAGGTGAAGAACAACACTTTGCAGAAAGTCCCTTAATAAGTGCCACAGAATTTGGGAACACAGAGATAACTCCTTTTCATGCATACAGTACACATATCATTACATACCTTACATGCTTTATCATAATTTTTGCCATTTCCTAAGGCACCCCTACATTTTTTTTCTTTTTGGGGGGGATGTTGCTGGAGATTTTGTTGTTTGGTGGGCGGTCATTTTATAGGGGATTGAACCCAGGGCTTCCCACATACAAGGCAAATACTCTACCATTGAGTTACATCCCCGGACCTTTTTATTTTATTATCAAGTGGGGTCTTACTAAGTTGCTCAGGCTGTCCTTGAACTTGTGATCTTCCAGCCTCAATCTCTGAGTAGCTGCCTACCCAGTACTGGGGATTAAACTCAGGGCCTCACACATGCTAGGTAAATGTCCTACCACTGAGCTCACCCGACATATTTTCTTAATTTTCAAAAATTAACCTTTTACCACATATAGTGGCATACACCTGTAATCCCAGCAATTTGAGAAGCTGAAGCTGGAAGACCATAAATTCAATCCCAGCCATTGGACTTAGCAAAATGCTCTATCAACATAAAAATAAAGAGGACTGGAGATGTAGCTCAGTGGCAGAGCACCCCTGGGTTCAATCCCTAGTTTAAAAAAAAAAAAAAAAAAAACACTACTTAAAACACTACTTTTTTTTTTTTTAAACACTACTTTTTAATTAACCTTTTAACTTAAATGTAGCAACATTTTAAGTAAAATATCTATGAACTCAGTTTTGATATTATGGTTATTATTTTTCTAACTCTGATAAAATAAACATACACTTCTTTTTTCTTTTTTTGTGGTGCTGGGGATTGAACCCAGGGCTTTCTACATGCAAGGCAAGCACTCTACCAACTGAACTATATCCCCAGCCCAAACATACACTTCCCAAAATAAGGCCTTTAGACTCTCGCCAATCACCAAGTTTTAGATCACACAGACTACAATCCTAGTCTCTGTAATCACTCTGGGATCTCTGCATACAATAATTTTAACAACAAAAAAATTTTTTTTTAACCCAAAAGAAAGTCCAAACACATCAGGCTCAATCCTTTCATTTCACAGGTTTAAAAAATAAATAAATAAAACGAGGCCAGGCACAGTGGTGCAGACCTGTAATCCCTCAGGCCTATAGTCATTCAGGAAGTTGAGGAAGAAAGGTCACAAGTTTGAGGTTGGCCCTGGCAATTTAGTGAGACCCTCAGCAACTTAGTGAGACCTTGTCTCAAAATAAAAAATAGAGGGGAAAAAAAGACTAAGGAAGTAGGTCAGTGATATAACTCCCTGGGTTAAATCCCCAGTACCAAAAAAAAAAAAAAAAAAATTGCGACCCAGGGAGGTTAAGTGACTATCCAAGATCACAGGAAATGTTTAATGAAATGTCTACTTCTATCAGTCTAGCTTGTTTTCCATTACATAATGTCCATTCAGATCACACAGGAATGATTTAGTATTAATGACTTTTCATCTGTTACCTACCTTACTCTTCCATTCAGATTTATCTGAACATGCTGCTTAAAATCTGGGTATTTGGATGCCAGATATGCAAAGTCAGGAGGTATGTCCTTGTATCTATTTCTTTCGTGCATTGATTTAATTGGCGCCATCTTTAGGGGGAAAAAAAAAAGGTAAAAGATCAGCATATTTAGTTGAAAAACATTAATGGGGAAAGTCATGGAAGCCAAGTCAACAGTTACAGCCAACATGTCTTTTCCAGTCAACTCAGGAAGTAGAAATTACATTTTGAAAATGTACACAGTAAGCACATGAAAAGATGCACAACACTATTAGTCATTAGAGCAATACAAATCAAAACCAGAAGGAGATATCACTTCACATCCATTGGGATAGCTATTATAAACAAAATCAGAAAACAAGTGTTTGCAAGGATGTGCAGAAACTGGAGCCCTCATGCATTACTGGTAGGAAAGTAACAGAATGGTACAGCTGCTGTGGAAAAAAAGAGTTGAGTGATTCTTTAAAAAGTTAAACACAGGCTGAGTACAGTGGCACACACCTGTAATCCCAGCAGCTCCAGAGTCTGAAGCAAGAGGATGATAAGTTCGAAGCCAGTCTCAGCAACTTAATGGAGGCCCTAAGCAATTTAGAAGACCTTATCTCAAAAATAAAATATAAAGATCCTTCGGTTCATAGTACCCCATTTGAATCAAATGTATGATATGTCAAGTTCATTGTAATGTTTTGAGCAACTAATAAAAAAATTTTTTTTAAATAAATAAATAAAATATAAAACTACTGGGGATGTGGCTCAGTGGTAAAGACTCTCTTGAGTTCAATCCCTGGTACCGCAAAAAATAAATAAAATAAATAAAAGTTAAACATAGGCCTCAAGCACTGCTAAAAAAGAAAAAAGAAAAAAAATAAGCTAAACATATACTCATCTTGGAGCCGGTGTAGCCCTATCGAGAACAGGACTTCAAAAAGTTTGGAAACCTGGGGTGCTGGCTGTAAGCGGAGTTCCCAGAACCAAAGGGAACACCCAGCTCTTCTTTTTTTTTTTTAAGAAAGAGAGAGAGAGAGAGAAAGAGAGAGAGAGAGAATTTTAATATTTATTTATTTTTTTTAGTTTTCGGCGGACACAACATCTTTGTTTGTATGTGGTGCTGAGGATCGAACCCGGGCTGCACGCACACCAGGCAAGCGCGCTACCGCTTGAGCCACATCCCCAGCCCCCCCAGCTCTTCTTATAACTGAAGGTATTTACTCTAGAGATGAAACTGAATTCTAGTGAGGCAAGAGATATGCTTGCATATACAAGGCAAAAAACAACAAAGTAACTTTTGGTGGCAAACTGAAGAAAACCAGAGTACCTGGGGAAAGGTAGCTTGTGCCCATGGAAACAATGACATGGTTCATGCTACATTCCAAAGCAAACTTTCTAAGGCCACTGGGCACAGAAGTTATGTGATGTTGTATCCTTCAAGAATTTAAACTAATGAAAAGTAAAGAACTAAAAATGGACTTGTGGGGGTTTTGGGAGGAAAAAAAAAACTCAGCAAGAATTACCATATTGCTGGGCACAGTGTCACATACCTATAATCCCAGCAGCTCAGTAGGCTAAAACAGGAGGATGGCAAGTTCAAAGTCAGCATCAGCAACTTAGCAAAACTCTAACCAACTTAATGACCCTGTCTCAAAGTAAAATATAAAAAAGTCTGTGGATGTGGCTAAGAGGTTAAACACCCCAGGGTTCAATTCCCCATCTAAAAAAAGAAAAAAGAAAAAAAGAGAGAGAAGTACCATATTTAGTAATTTTACACTCCTAGGTATATCCCCCAAAGAATTGAGTGCAGGAACACAAATGTACATCAATGGTCAAAGCAGCATTATTCACAATGGCAAAATGGTGGCAACAACTCAAGTGTCCATCAACAGACAAATGATTATACAAATGATTTGTACAAAAAGTATGGGCACATTTGTGTGTGTGTGTGTGTGTGTGTGTGTATACACACATGAGGAAGGAGGACCGCAAATTCAAAGCCTGCCTCAGCAACTCAGTGAGCCCTAAGAAACTTAGCAAGACCCTATCTCAGAAAATAAAAGATACTTAAGACTACATAGCTGACATAACACTCTGAACATGTGTGAAACATTTTTAAATGTCAACGAGGTTACATATGACCAAGTTAATTACAAATGTAATAAATTCAGTTCATTTCCTGCATTAGTTATTCTGGTCAGAACAGATGCAAAATGAGTCAATAAAGCTGGTTCTTTGCTACCCACCCTCCTAACAAGAGCACTGGATTTTAAGCTAAATATATCTATTTCTTAAAGTTTAGCTATGTGTCAACTCTTTTTTATGGACATGATACTGTATTTTATTTATTTTTATGTGTCTGAGCTACAACCCCAGCCTAGGTGTCAACTCTTACCTGACATCAGCATTGTCACTCCCCATTTTAATCTACTTTTCCAGGCTCATTCTAATCTAGAACATAAAAGCCACATTGGTCTTCTTGCTATTTTCTATCAAGTCTAGCACACTCATGCCCTAGGGCTTTTGCACTTGCTGTCAGTGTGCCTGGACTGTTCTTCCCCCAGAAATATATACACTGAAAGTACCCTCATCTTATTCAGGTCTTTAGTCAAATGTCAGCTTCTCATTGACAACTTTCCTAAGTACCCCATTTAAATGTGCAGTGAATGAATGCATCTTATTTTACTTCCTAGCTTTTATTTTACTTCCTTGCTTTAGCCTTCTACATAGAATTTACCCTTTAGACATTTATTTTGCTTATGCCAATAAACTTCATGAAGAAAAATATTTTGTCTGCTTTGTTCACTATGATATCCCAGAACCTAAAACAGGGCCTAGGAGAGCAGGCATTTAATTATTTGTTGATTCAAAGAACGATGGGAGAAAAAGAAAGAACGACGATGAAATTCTTTTCACTGTCCAGGTTACCCTTAATGAGTTGGCAGTCCCTTCCCCATCTTGAGTGTCAAAAAAAGCTCAGCCCAAGGGCTGGAACTTCTCCCGGGTTACCTTAGTCCAGAAAGCTAAAGAAGTAGTATTCTTTTTTTTTTTTTTTTAATTTTTAATACTTATTTATTTAGTTCTCAGCGGACCCAACATCTTTGTTTGTATGTGGTGCTGAGGATCGAACCCGGACCGCACGCACGCCTGGGGAGCGCGCTACCGCTTGAGCCACATCCCCAGCCCCAAGAAGTAGTATTCTTGAGGCTGACGCACAGACGTTCTTTGCTCTTTCTCATTTCCATGCTTCTGTTTCCTTGATTCCTCATAACCCTTAACCTTCAATTACCATATTTCTTAACATGAAAACTTGTAAATTTAACTAAATTCTGCTTTTAGAAAGTCGAATTCCTTCTCAAATGATTCCTTCCACCTCGATCCTAAGCTCCGTTTTCTCTTCTCTCCTCCCCCCATAAATCCGACTTTTTCCACTTGTCCTGCCACTGCCAGTTCTCCAGCTCCTCCACTCCTTCCACATCCTTACCTTACCCACTCCATTTGTCTTCCCGCCTCAGTTTCAGATCTCTCTAAACATCAGCCCCGAAGGGTCTTCCCTACTTCAACCCCGTCTTTCAACTCCTCCCACCCACTCATAACATGGTAGCGTGCCCCCGCGCCCGCAAACACCCACCTGCACCAGGTCTCCCTTTCTAGACCCGAAGACAACATACCCCAAGAGCCCAGAACGCGACAATGAGGAAACTAAACGATCCATGGGATGTTGTTACAGAGGTCGTGCTAACAATGTGACCCATAATCGTAAACCCAAACAAAGTGTTAAGCAACCCACCTCTGTCAGCGATGTTCCTCACCGACGTTGTGCCTAGTGTGGGCCTGTAAAATCTCAGAATTTTACCACCCGCTGCGTGAAGCTCCAAGAAACGCAGATGTGACGCTTCCAGCGCGCCGCCATCTTGTGAAGCTATCTAACCTCGTGATTGGACAAGTCACTCTCGCGATATCTATGGCCTAGTCTGCAGGAAGATTAAACTGTCGCGATATCTGGCGTTCGAGGCTTCTTTTTGAGAGAAGGCTGGGGATTGGTGGTAAATGAACCGGGTCCTTTGCAGTGTGACCAAAGGCGACCTGTTCTCGAATCTTCTAGGAAATATGGTATTTTTTTGTTTTGTGGTACAGGGAATTGAACCCAGAGGCACTCTACCCCTGAGCTACATCCCCAGCCCTTCTTATTTATTTACTTATATTTATTTATAGTACTGGGGATTTAATCCAGGAGCAATTTACCGCTGAGCTACATCCCCAGACCTTTTATTATTATTATTTACTTGGTAACAGGGATTGAACTCAGGGGCACTTACTCACTGAGCCACATCCCCAGACTTTTTTTATTTTTTATTTTGAGACAGTGTCTGATTAAGTTACTTAGGGCCTAGCAAAATAGCAAAATTGCTGAGATTGGCTTTGAACTTGGGATCCTCCTGCCTCAACCTCTTTAGTCGCTTGGATTGGAGGCCTGCCACTGCACCTGGCTTTATTTTGAGACAGTGTCTAAATATCTTAGGGCCTCAGTAAATTGCTGAAGCTGCTTAAATTTGTGATCCTCCTGTGTAGGCCTACAGAGATGCTGGGATTAAAGGAGTGGGACACCACTCCTAGCTGCCCTTTTTATTTTTTATTTTGAGACAGGGTCCTGTTGAATTATGAGGCTGGCATCTAATTTGTGATCCTCCTGCGTCAGCCTCCATGGTCTCCAGAATTACAGACGTGAACCACCATACCTGGCTTTCTTCTGTTTTTAAGTGGCTTTCTGGGTCTTATTTTAGAGTTGCTAAATCACACTCTGGAGTTGGACTGGAATATGAAGGTTTTGGCGATTATTAATGGGCAGTTAGCACTTATTGTGCATCATAGCTCTATGTAATGAATGCATCATTTAGTCATCAGAGACAAACCTGTGAGATGGGGGGTGGGTATTATTTCATTTACAGACTAAGAACTGAGGATCAGAGATGTGAAGTCGTTCAACATCTTACATTCAGATGACATAAAGTTCACATTCCTTTTACTTCTTCATCTATCTATTAAGCTGCATGTTCTGTTAATGCACTTCATTTTCAGCTAGGCTATACTCACTTTTACCCTCTGGTTAAGTAGAGTGAGTTTAGTCTTCCCATTTTTACAGCTGAAACAGAAAAGTTAATGATCTTTTTAAAAAGCATAAAATTAGAAACAAATCTAGAACTAACATCAGGACCTAGAACCTCTTAATACTTAAGAAGAGGAAGTGTAGCTCAGTAGTTAGTGCACTTTTAGTATGCACAAGGCCCTAGGTATCCTCACCAGAGCCTCACATAAACAAAACAAAATAATAGCTTGCTGGAGTTCTAGTAAATGCAAAAGGCTCTGACAAACTATTACCATAAAAGTGGGAAATAGCAGAAAGTAAAGAATGGAGACCAGCTTTTTGCAAAACTGAGTATACCAGCCCTAGGAAAAAAGCTCAGGAGATGTTTTCATTACTGTGTAACAAACCATTCCAAAACATGTGTTAAAACAACCACCATTTTATTTGCTCACAGTTCTGCAGTCTAGATTGTGATCAAACCAGCTGTTGTGCTGTCTTTGTCAATGGTCGCGGCATCAGCTGGGGGCTGATTCAGCAGAAACAGAGGGGTCTCTCCTGTAGTCTGAAATTCTCCCTCACCATATGGCTTTTCTTCACAGTCTCTCCAGCAGAGTATCCAGACTTATTACACATTCACTCAGTACTCCCAAAAGACAAAAATGGAAGCTATTAAGCCTTCTTAAGACTTAGGTCCAGAATTGGCACTTTCACTATATTCTGTTGATTAAAGCAAACAAAGGGCCAGCATAGATTCAAGGAACCATGCTATGTTATCTTCCATTATTCAAAGGCAAAGTTCCATGGAGTCAGTGATGCAGCATAATACCACAGAAAGTTTACTTTATTTCCTTCTTTGTTTTTTCCTTTATAGTACTGGGGAAGTTTTCTGTCTTCGTTAATAATGACTTTGGGGCCAGGCATGGCACAGGCCTGGCTCAGGCCTAGCACAGGCCTGTAATTGTAGCTGCTCAGGAGGCTGAGGCAGGAGGTTCACAAGTTCAAGGCCAGCCTTAGCAGTTTATGGAGGCCCTAAGCAGTTTAGGGAGGCCCTAAACAAGACCCTGCCTCAAAATAAAAAAAAAATAAAGCAAGTTGGGGATATAGGTCAGTGGTTAAGCACTCCTGGGTTGAATCCCTGGTACCAAAAACAAAAAACAACGACGACTTTATTTTATTTTATTTTTTGCAGTATATAGTTCTTGCTTCTGAATAGGCAAAAGAAAAATTAGCCTTGGAGGTATAATTGATGAGATTGATAAAGATAGTATTTAAGATGTTGGTAGGGCTGGGGGCCAGTGTGATGACACAGGTCAATAATACCAGTGACTTGGGAGGTTGAAGCAGAAGGATCCACAAGTCGAGGCCAGCCTCAGCAACTTAGACCCTCAACAGCTTTGAGAAACCCTATCTCAAAATGAAAAGTAAAAAAGGGACAGGGATGTAGCTCAGTGACAAAGCACTTCTGCGTTTAATCCCCAGTACAAAAAAAAAAAAGATGTTGATAGGGCTGTGGATGTAGCTCAGTGGTAGAGTGCTTACCTAGCATGTGTAAGGCTCTGGTTTATACACACACAAAAAAAAAAAATTGATAAATTTATTTATTTCCAAAGATAAGGTTCTACTTTCCTGTAGGTCAGACAAGAGAGACCTAACTCTGCAGTCAAGAAACTTGAGTTTTAATCCTGCACCTACTACTTATTCCTTTTTTTTTTTTTTTTTTTTAAATGGTGCTGGGGTTTGAGCCCAACTAAGCTATATCCACAGCCTGCACCCACTGCTTACTACTTTTGTGATTATGGGCAATAAACTTTTCAAACCTCAGTTTGCTCAATTGTAAAACATGATGATAATCTCATAGGGTTGTGAGAAATCAGGTAAATGTGTATAAAGCACACTTCTTGTAATGTCTAATACACAGTAAATTTCTTTTATTCTTGTGAAGCTGGGGATTAACCCAGGGCCTCATGCATGCTAAGCAACCACTTTACCACTGAGTTACATCCACAAAACCCCCTTTTTGCCTTGTTTTTGAGATAGGGTCTCTTGAACTTGCCAAGGCTGGCCTCAAATTTGTGATCCTCCTGCCTTAGATTCCCAAATAGCTAAGACTACAGACATGTGCCACCCTGCCCAGTCATAGTAAACTTCAAATTTGTATTATTCCTTATAATGTTTCTAGTCAGTTTCCACTTTTTAAAAAATTATTTCATAAAGAAAAAACATTTTACAAACTAAAATTTTGTGAATAGCTTAGATATCACAGAAAGGTATGAGAAAATATTATCTAAAATCTAACCACCCAGAGCCAGTCACCACCAAATTTTGGTAACTTTATTCCTAAATCTCTATATAATCATAAGGATATATAAATCCAAATATAAATCTTGGAGTTTATCCTACTTTAGTTAATAAACTTCTTTATCTGTTTTGTTGTTGTTGTTGTTGTTTTACAGTACTAGGATTGAACCTAGGGGCACATTACCACTGAGCCATACGCCCAGCCCTTTTTAATTTTGCAATAGTCTTGCTAAGTTGCCCAGGTGGCCTTGAACTTGAAATCCTCCTGTCTCAGCTTCCCAAGTGACTGGGATTACACACATGTGCCATTGCATTTGGTCTTTATCATCTTTTGTGATAGGTGTACAGTATTCCATTGTATGGATGTATCACTTTGTTTTTTAATTAATTCCCCAACAGATACACATAAATTGTTTTCAAGCCACTGGTATGGCCTATTCCCAAATTTTGTGGTAAAATGATAAATATATCCCCTTTAAAACTTTTTAAATATGAAATGACAGTTGTTTGGAAATGCCACAAAATAGATTAACAAAATATTTAACTTTAGGAGTTATCTCCCTGATTTACACTCATACCTAAGGATTTAATCTTGTCAGAAAAGTCTGTTCAGAGGCTGGAGTTGTGGTTCAGTGGTAGAGCATTTGCCTGGCATGTGTGAGGCCCTGGGTTTAATCCCCAGCACCTCATATAAATAAATAAAATAAAGGATCCATTTGCAACTAAAAAATATATTTTTAAAATTCTATAAAAAAAGTCTGTTCAACTTCTACACCCCAGCAAGGACAGTATAAGTGTCTAAATACTCAATTATATCCTTAGTTTCTCCTTCCTTCTTTCCTTCATTCATTCATTGTTTATCAAGGCAAGGCCTCACTATGTTGCCTAGGCTGGCCTCTAAATTCTGAGTTGAAGTGATCCTCCTTCCTTAGGCTCTCAGTAGTTGGAATATAGGCATGCCATCAGGCCCAGCTGCTTATGTTCTCTTAAAAAGCTCCACAGAACCAGGAGCAGTGGTGTATGCCTATAATCCTAGCAGCTCCAGAGGTTGAAGCAGGAAGATTGCAAATCAAAGACCAGCCTCAGCAACTTGGCAAGACCTATCAAAAAATAAAAAATAAAAAGGTGTGATGGTATAGCTTAGTGATAGAGTACCCCTAGGTTCAATCCCCAGTACCCAAAGAAAGAAAGAAAAGAAAATCCACAGGTATTCCATGAATCTCTGGTTGAGAAACACTATTTTAGAGAAATCTCATGATCTACTACCCTATCAAGTTTTGGCTTCCTGAGTGCAAGCTTTATGTTATTCATTGTTGCACTCCTCCCTAGGTATTTACCCCAGGAAAGATTTGGTAAGTACATCTGCACAGAATCAAACTTGTACTGGCATTAAATGGTAACATTACTCTCCCCACGTAACCCTTTTCACCATACCACTTGCTGTTGGCCATAATCCTCAGAGCCAGGCCTTCCCTTTGTTCCCTTGCTTTTACAACTGCAGTCCCCCAATGGAGAAGCA